AGGAGAAGAATGATGAGTCTAAGAAATGTTTGGAAATACTGAGAAACTGTAAACTTCTTCCTTCAACAAAGACGTCCAAGATATTCTAATTCTGGTGAGAGCTCTCACTCCTTATTTTTTCACAATCCCAGAGATACACAGCGTGAAGACCTCTCACTCTGATGAGTTTTTCCAAACCAAGATTCTAACTATTGTATTTGTGCTTTTAACTATGAAACTGTTCTAACTTATTTAACTTATATCTTAACCAAAGGCATTACACTCCCCGCTTGAGATAATGAAATTATATCACTACAATTTTCAATATGCATATAAACATCTTTCAAACAGTGTGAATTAACATTAAGGTTTACTCAGTCTCTGAAACAAGAACTATAATGTCTGTGACTGGTCTTAGGTACACCGTAGCAGTACCTTTTTTCACAGTCCGTACTTCCACCTTGCGGACCCTCTTGTCATTGCTTGGAATGACCTTTACAACTAGTCCTATAGGCCATTCATTCCTGTTGGCTTGAACATCCTTTAACAGAACCACATCTCCCTCTTTGATGTTGGCCCTGCTTTCAGTCCATTTTGTGCGGCTTTGTAAGGCAGACAAATATTCTCTCTTCCACCTTTTCCAAAATGTGTCTGCCAGGTTCTGAACCTGTTTCCACTGTTTTTTGAACAACTGTCCTGAAGAAAAGTTCCCAGAGGGTGCTGAGACTGCGCTCATTTTCTGAGTGAGCAACACAGCTGGGGTGAGTATGCCAGGACAGTCCGGGTCAGTAGATATGGAGACAAGAGGCCTGGCATTAATAATCGCCATAACTTCTGCCATAAAGGTGCTTAAAACCTCGTGAGTGATGCGTGATGATCCATTTTGTAACAGCATTGTGTCCAGGATGCACCTGGCTACACCAATAAGGCGTTCCCATGACCCTCCCATATGATATGTGTGAGGGGGGGGTTGAACACCCAAGAATATCCTTTCTCTTGAAGGTACAGTATATTGCAACCACCTCTTGTGCGCCCCGTAACAACTGTCCATGGGCCGAAAACATCCATACTAACAGAAGTGTAAGGTGGTTCTGGAGTGACCCGGTCTGTAGGCAGGTCGGACTTTTTCTGTGTAGCCATCTTGCCCCTCAGCTTTCTGCAGGTGACGCACTTATGAACGAGTGCGGACACGAGGCCCTTACCTCTGACTATCCAATATCCAGCGCCACAGACAGCTCCTTCAGTGATGTGCCATCCTTGATGAGCCACTTGTTCATGGACCCATCTCACCAGCAATGTGGCGATGTGACTAGCAGCTGGAATGATCAAAGGATGCTCATCGTTCTCCGAGAGATCAGCAGAAGAAAGACGGCCACCGACTCGTAGAAGGCCATCTTTGTCCACAACTGGATTGAGCTTTTTTTAGTGTGTCATGTTTCCTGTTCGTCTGTTTTCCTTCTTTAAGATTTTTGAAGGACTCTTTATAAGTTTCTTGCTGGACAGTTCGGATGATGACAGCTTTGGCTTGAGTGAGTTCTTTGCTGGTTGGTATGTCACCAAAACTTCTCCATCCTTTTCGATCACTTGTATTTTGTTTGAAAGATGCAGCCACATGAATGAGTCTGGCTATCGTTCTGCACATTGTGTTCCTGCTTGAATGTTTAGCAAAGTGTTGGGAACCCATGTGTGGCTCCGATGTCATAGTTGTCAGTGTTTTTACTTCTGGATGATTTAGTCCATAAATACATCTCTGTGTTAAAGATACAGGCCAATCCAGATCCATTTACATCTGATTTGTTATTAAACTATCATTAATTAATTGTCTGGCAGTGGTTGATTAGATCATTCCCAAATCCTCAGAACTCAGAAGAAAGGGTCAGGCATCACATTTCTTTATAAACCTGGAAAGCAAAGCGTCGGCAGATTTCTAACAGTCTGTGAATATTTGGCCAGTTACAATTTTAATTCGATTTCATATGTGTATTTAAATACGTATGGATTTGTCTATAGCCTTTATATGC